AGTCACCGGGATACGTTCATCAAGAATTACATTATCTTCAGTGACTTCATCAAACTCGGTCACTGATGGTTGTTTTCCCTGAGATGATTTACGGATTTTATCCTCAAGAAATTTGATCACCGACTTCTTGATTTGGTCCGGAGTCATCTTCTCGATCTCCTCTTCCATATTCACTTCTGCAAGAGTCTTCACATAGACCTCGGCCAACTCGTCCCGTTTATCCTTCTCAACCTCCAAAATCATGCTGATGAAGGATTTCCGAAGTCGGGCATCCCTTTCTTCACTCAAATGAGGGATGAGAGGATTTTCAAACTTAGCATTAACGAGGAGACTATCACAAAACTCCTTTTCGACTTCGTCCGCATCAATATGAGCAGTTATGATCGCCGAACTGAAGTTATGCTTCTTGACCTTGAAGAGGAGATATTGACGCAACTCTTCGATGTCGTAAAGGCCATCGTCAAACCACTCAAGAACCCAGCGGATATTTAAACAAGACGTCGAGCTCTCGGTCTTCATCATCAAAGTCGGATCCAGAAGTTATCTTGATTCGGTTAGCTTCGGCCTCAAGAATCCTTCCGGCACGAAGGCCGTCATTATATTTTTCCTCTGCGAACTTAATTTTTTCCTCCTGAAGTCTACTCAAGTCAGCACGGTGGGCATCTCGGCTCTTGATCAGCAGCTCTTCGGCCTCATTGCGCATGTCCCGAGTAAACTTGTGAGCCTCTTGCTCCTTGCACAATAAAATATGACACCGGGCGAGCTGATCTTCTAAGGACTTCACACGCTCCTCAGAAACAATAATCTGATCGGACAACCGGGGTACCTCGTTATCAACAGCGGTCTTCTCGATTTTCAGGGTCTCGATTTCACCCTGAGCGATCACCAATTGCTGATCTTGCTCGGCGACTTTATTCTTTAACTCTCTCTCTTTGGTCATCGCCTCCTCCCTCAGAGATGCAATAGCCCCATCTCTGAGTGCCAAAGTATGCTTTTTCTCGTCCACCTGCGCCGCATTGAGCCGAAAATCATCCTCGGCCATCACTAAACTTACCAGAGCTCGGCCGAGACATGCCTTAGCATATTTGAATTTGTAAGCGCTGGGCAGTGAAGATACACCAATTTCAGATCTCGGGTCCCACACCATCATTGGGACCCGTGAAGCATCAGTAACGTGGCTTGGTAGCTCCACTTTACTTGGAATCTCGGGGATCTACACTGACTCGAAAGTCGAGAACCATTTTTCGACCGATTCCCGAGGTTGCTTGAAGTTCATTACTCTCTCCTTATCAATGGGTAGGAAAGACCGGTCAACCAAGGGTTCTTTCTTCTTCTTTCCATGCTGGCCGACGTCGTGCTTCTTCTTAGACCGTCCCTCGTCAACCGGGATGCTCTCAGCACGTCTTTTCCTCTGTCGGACCAACGCGGAACCTTGCTCCTCGACCTCTTCTCGGTCGCCTTCGGGCTCGTCGGAGACTACCTCGATGATCGGCCGAATCTCCAGATGAATGATTCCAGTAGCCGGTTTCGCCTCAGGTGAAACAACTGCGATCGAACCGATCACAGCCGTAACGATAGCAGCAATAGGACCGGTAGCTGCTATCGCTAAAGGATTTGGCCGCAACTCTTCAAAAACAGATTCCGACGTTGCACCATCACCGACGTCAGCATTCTTCGGGTTCATAATAGGGTTGGACAGAAAAGCCTTCACCAACTTTTTGCGACCCATTTCAGAAAGACGTTGTTCTTTACTTTTGCCGACTTTACTTCGAAGTTCAAGATTTGGGCACTTCTGGCGAAAAGCTTTGGCGTCACGCACAGTTTTAAACCCGAACACTCCGAGAAGTGGGTAATAAACTACACACAAGAAAAGTTTGAGTTATAATCGCTCTTATAAACGACCGACTTCAAATAAGATCAAAAAATTATGACTCGAACTTACCTGGTTGAAAGAAAGAATCTGAGATTACGGGACAGAGACCGACTGCTTTTTACCTCGAATCCTTTAAAACCAATTTGAAGCTGCGTTGTTCTTTCTTCAATTTAAACAGCTCGGTAATTCTCTCTTTCAACTTCACACCGAGTTTCGATTCCTTTCTTCGCGTTGCAAACAGAAAGTGCTGACCTGTTAGTACAAAAATAAAGCAAGTCAGGACAACTCGGTACAAAAGATGATAAAAGACTTACAATATGCAGAATTAATTTCGATGGGTATTGACATCCCATCGATTAAAGGTTTAGAAAAATTCGGAGTCTGCCAGTCTCCCCCGACCCACAGCCACTCCTCTTGGAACCCGTGGAGAGAATCTGGGATTTCGGTAATTAAATCACCGACTTTTAATCCACCTTGTGGCCTCCCTGCGCATGCGAAACAGATCAACGGATCGGCCACTTGCCTATCGGCACACCTTCTAAATGTAAAAAGACTTCTAATCTCCTCCACGGTCGGCATATCCCACTTTTTCTCCTTTAAAAGCACCATCAAACCGATTATTCTTTTCCAAGAGTTCGGTGCAGTCTGACATAAACCGAAGCCCCAATCTCTTAAGTAATCGGTAATTAATGCCGGCAAAGAGAATCTTAATCCCGACCTCAATGAATCGGCAAAAACACCCACACAACCCGGCGGAGGGCAGGTAATCCTCTCACCCGGATAAGGAGCAAATAACCTTACCGAAGAGGGAATGTCGACTTCTCCTCGAAGCAAAACAATATCCGCGTCGGTTAAAATACTCGGTTCCCCCCTATACTCATCAATCGGTTCAGGCCATCGACGTACCGGACGCCTCCAATATTCAGCGAGAGACATCGCGTTATTTTCCGCTGCCTTGTCCTCCTCAATTATGTCTTTATTCAAATTAAGTCTTTGCACAAGAATGGGATCCCATCGATAATACTCGAGGGGTAATTTCACATCCTCATCGGTAAAGATCTTATCCTCGGAAACAATATGGCTACTACTACCCTCAGCGTGAGAAGTCATCTTTTCGAGATTGAAGAAAAGAAATAAAGACAAATTTGAAATCGACGAACACGAAAATTGAAAAATTAGGGCAAAATCTTACCAGACACAAAACCCTAAATTGGAGAGGATGAAGGAATGATCGTGATGAAAAAAGATTGGAAGCAGATTCGAAGCTTTTGAGGATAAAGTTGCAGAAGAAAACAAAGAGTTCAGAAATTCAAGGTAAGAAAATCCTCTTACGGCCAAAACCGACGACAATTTATAGGTTTTGATTTATGACCATTGAGCAAGTCCTGAATCGACGTATGTAACGGACGTGTCCATAAACGGCGCAACGTTACAGTAATCATTAATACACGTGGATCAACCTTGAAACGCCCCGTCATCCCATTATTCTGCTCGTTGGACCCATTAAATACAGACACGACTTTTAAGAATCGCCACGTCAGCCAAGCCGTTACATAACCATCAGAAAAAATCTATGGCAAATACCAAGTGTTCTCATGTCGGTTATCAAATACAAAGAAGTCGGCAAACTACCAAGTCGGAAATTACTGAAAATATTAGCGATATCAGTGGCCATCTTGTAAAGTACAAATTACCTGCTAATGTCGGGGGCCTCTCTGTTGATAACCGACTTGGTTGTACATGATTAGTTGAGAACTAATCATATTATTCATTGATCTTTCGAAAAAGACTAAACTTAGCCCAAGTCGGTAACAGTCGAAAAGATACCGACTTCCTCATAGCACAAGCTAAACCGATTACACTCCAAATCGACTAAACTATAGAAGCTTACAGACCAACTTCGCCAAACGACAAAATTACTTGCTATGAAGATTATCCTTTCAACCGACATCCGAGGAGACCAAATTCTTAAGCAAGAGACGTTGTACATCTTCTATTGGACCATCAAGTCAAAGAATAATCATTGATGTTCCCTCATTACATTACACGCCGCTTTATTGAAGCTGCTCAGTATTTAATGTGATCTCATCTACCTCGGACTAAAAGACAAAAATAGCCGTAATATAAGTAGCAGAATTTATTATTGTACGGGGATCTTTTTCGACACATTGTACACAGACTGTAAGACATCTCGGTTATGAATAAGAAACCAACTTCCTGTACTCTTGTGAATATATCAATAAAATACACATTTTACTTTTGTTCCATGTAATACACACATTGCTGTTCGTTAATTTGAGTTGTTAATTTCCATACAACAACAATATCATATACAAAATTTGATAATAAAATTGTAGAAATCTAAATTAAATAAATTATGGATAGTTTAAATTGATTAAGTATTTGTAATTATAAAAGTTCATAAAATAATATTTACATTTATATAAATTACTATTTCAAAACAAATTCTTTACATAAACCACTAATAATCAACAATATAATATAACAAAATAATAAAAAAAAAATACACTTTAACTTTTAAAGAACACTACGAGCATGTTTGTTTAAGAAAATTTTCAAAAAATTTACAACATTTTAACTCAACCACTTTTTTTAATTTAACTTTAACTCAACTCCACTACCATCACTATTATCAATATAATTAAATAATATCAATCAATCATTCATACATACTACATTAACATTAATTCACTATTCATCCATTCACATTATTTTAACTAACCATCACTTCAAATCATCTTTCTCATATTTTTACATCAAATCAATTTTAATTATTTTATTTTAAATATTATTTTAATATATTCACTAACAACTAACCATACTACTTTTGTTAAAATTAACCAAACCAAACAAAAAAAATTTAAACAAAACTAAATTTTTTTATAAGCAAACATGCTCGTCATTTTTTTCTTTTTAATAAAAAGAGGCCTGAAAAATAAAATTAATTTAATGACGACAAAGATCCATCACGCAACTAGGCTCCCAATTGCAACACGCGTGACCTTACGCCCAATAACACGTCGACACCTCATGTTCGTACGCGCAGCGCACCTATTGGTCAGGCCATTCGGGTCGGGTCCTGGAATCCGAAAGGTAACGTCGACCAATGAGAAACCAGAAAGAGATCGTATCACGACCCGATCTCTCGTCCACGAGTTGTGATACCCATAAACCATTGCCCGCCCATGTATTGATCTGCTTGCCACGTGGCGGTTCCTCCATGACTCAAATTACCTCAATATTTAAATTATTAAAATATTTTCCCCACACACACACACAAAAAAGGAAAACATTTTCCTCTGCTAAAGCTCAATTAGAAAAATATTATCTCTCTCTAGAGCGGCCTAGATTTGGGACTCCGAAGGATCAGAGCTAGGGTTGCCTGCTGAACTGAAGTCGCCTGATTTCATTTCCGGTCTATTTTTGAAGATTTTCTCGCCGAGTACGATTTTTTCCGGTGAGTTCTCTGGCGAGATTCAGTTAGCAGAGTACAGCTGTTTGTTCGAGCTGTTTCCACTTTTGTTTAGAGGGTTTGATTTGCTTGTTGATAAAAGAAATTGTTTGCTCTTTCTTAAATAAAGATCGAAAAGGGAAAGGCTTCGATGGTTGAAGTAAATCTGGCTGCTGCTTCTATCATTTTATTTGTTAATATCAATATTGTTATTGTTGTTATTATTATATTGGTGTTATTTCCTCATCAAAACAGATGAGAAACTTAATTGAGTTTTGATATTTTTCGGACTCGTTGAGATCATGTTTGTAAGGTGTGGTTGAACATTTTTTTTTCGAGGCAACTATAAATTCTCTGGTTGTCTTCTTACATTTTTGGTATGCAGTCATAAACTGTAAATCTTGTTCTGAACTTAGTGCAAGATAACCTGTGGCCTGTGAGTCAGTCAAGCTCTATTCTCATTCTTGTGACTTAATATGTTCTCAATGGTTGCTGTTTATTTGTTGGAAATGGACTTTTGAAATCTGGTCTAGAAGGGTAGACAGATTTGTTAAATGGTCAAGGAAGTCAACTTCAATTTTTGCCAGTGATTAACTCTATTGTCTTCTAATATTAATTTCTCGTTTACTTGATGTTTTGGTGGATTTTGTGATCGGAGGTCAAGGAAGGATTTGTATATGAACATGAAGTACACTTCACACAGTTTGAGTGCTGGCTGAGTTCGAGAAGGAATGTCTGATTTGTGCTTGTATGAGGTAAGTTCTGTTTTTCCAATGACATTAATGAATTAACTATAGAATCATCTTTATCTGATATGAAATTTTATGAAATTTGAAAACTTGTCTGACATTGTAATGGCACAAAAAGTTTGCCATGATGCCATCACATGTAATGCATGGTTGTTATTCTTTGATAATACGTCCTTTGGGAGAGTGTGCCTCTGTTTCAATGTTAACTCTAGATATCTGGCCGAATAGGTCAACTGTCCTTTAGTAAATGACATTGATAAACTGCCATAGATTTCTATATGCGTGTTTGTCAAGAAACACACATTTCAAAATTATAACAGGCCAATGTATATATAATAGATAATTGGCATTTGCACCTCAAAACTATGAGAACCACTTACCCTTTAACTCAGCAGTGCGGATAGTAATTAGTATGTAGGAAATTATATTTAAATAAAACATGATTTATTCCACTTTAGCATCTACAATTTGAAAGGATATCGAATTTTGGTTTAAATTTTCTAGTCGTAATAACAAATTTGTGTTTAGCACACAAACTGATAGATTTTACTTGGTATGAATTCCACCCCTGTGCTGCAAGTTTTAACCATTGATTTACGCTAGATTTGTGAATCAATTTGTAGCCTGTGTAATATTGACAAACAGCATGTGTGGTTTAGTGGGGAGGTTTTTTAAATGTCTTGCTTGTAGGGTAATAGTGCTCCTGGTTCGCAAGCTCTTGGCACTAATTTTAACTTGGGTTTGGATCATTTTATATGTATTGGCTACTGCTCAGGCAGGCTAATTATTCTAGGACTCTCTCTAGAACCCACAAGATTCATTTTCGATTGCATATGTTAGCATTATAGCATCTTGCTTATAGAGTGAAACTGCTCCTGGTTTCTTAAGCCCTTGGCACCTATTTTAACCTAGGCCGGAACATGTTGCATGCATTGTCTAATGCTCAGGCAAGCTAATTATTCCAAGACTCTGCCTTGAACTGATCAAATGTTTTGCCAATGGTATATAGAACACATTTAAAAGGAGAATCAGACAAATTAGTCATTGTTTGGTTAACTGCCTTTCCAAAGTTTGCATTTTATTATTAGAGTTTGTATACTTATTTGAATTTGAAGTTAGTCTGCATCTTTTCAGCTAGTTCTTTGATACTCGAACTTCTTCACCCTGAAATACAACAATCAAAACAACTAACCTGTAATGTATATCACCTACAACTTTTCTGTAATTTGCAGTTTGCTGTAATTTTCAAATTTTTGGTATTGTCTTACTCATTTTATGGAAGTATCCCATGCAGTTATTACAGCTAAAATTCCGTAACTGCTGTTACAGTTAGAAGACTTAGTTTGGGATGACTTTTGCCAGAGTGATGATCATATAGTTCCTCATTCTGGTACTGGAAGTGCAGTTGATCATTCCATTCTGGGTGATAGCCACAAGAAACCTTGCTGTGTAGTAACAAGCTTTTCAAATAGTACTGGGGATATATCTTCGGTTGGGTATGTCCATCCTGGAAGAGATCAAAGGGGATTTCCGTCACTGAATAAAAGAACGTTCACAATGCTGGAAAATGATTCCTGGTGCAACACGCCAAGTGGCGTATCTCCATCTGAAAGTAACTCCATCAGAGAGGCATCAAGTGTAGCCTCAGAAAACACCACATCATCTCATTATGCCTCAAAAAGCAATAAGACGGAGTCAAAGAATCATGAAACTTGTGCGAATGATAACATTCTTAGTGACAAGAACACTGATAACAGCTCTTTTGGCAAAGCTCTTGGTGACATTACTCACCCAGGAAATAATCTCAGTTTTTTTGAGAATGCAGAGAACAAAGATTCAACTGAACTTTTGTTTTATGGTTGGCCAGAAATTGGAAACTTTGACGATGTTGACAGGATGTTTAGGTAATGCCAAGTTTCTTCTATGATTAGGGTTGTCATTTTTATCATGTTGTTTTTTGCTAACAAATTTGCACTTTACTCAGTAGTTGTGATTCAACATTTGGGCTTGGTTCCAGTAAAGAAGACGGACTGGGCTGGTTTGAATCTGCAGATAACGTAGGAGGATCTGGAGACATAGTCAAGCCTGAGTTTGAGTTTCCATATCCTGAGCCAAATCCAGTGGAATGTAATCCACAACAACATGACTCTTCTAAGAATGATTTCCTCAACGATTTTTCCATGATGGGGGACGGTTCTTGGATTTCAGAGAAATCTGATTCATACATGTCTTTTGTGAATGGACCTGCTATGGCCAACAGCAAAGATAGTTTTATCCCCAAAGAACAGGTTATTTTATATCATGATTTCATGTGTGGCTTTTCCAGATAAAGCAAGCTGATCTGTTATAGCAATTATTTTGAAAATACTGTTTACCCCTAAGATTATATGACTGTGGTAGAATGCGTTTAACAAGATTCATTAAATTTAGTTAGTCAATTAATTTTTCCCTTGGTTCAATTTTTTTCTTGTAAAATAGAATTTTGTATGTCTTTTTCAAGGTACTCAAGGAGGTTGTGGTTGTCATTTGGTAGGTCATTTCTGTGTAAACACTATGACCTCTTAAAATTTATATTTAATATCCTTGGCAGATCAGCGATAACAAAAATAAGGTTAAGCTACAGGCCCAATACGGTAAAACAAAAGAAACCTATTTGGAAAATGGTAGTTTCAATTTTGCGATTGACCTACCCAATGAAGCAGTGCAGCTCCCTCCATCTTACGTGCACTCGAACAACAGCCCTTCTTCTGATCTGACCTCGATAAATCCGGCTCCATCTTCTGTCAAATCCGAGACGCATGGCTTGATATCCCCAAGAAATCCTTCCCATGCATCCATCCAATTGCACACTGACCCTAAATTTTCAATGGCTGCTCCAGTCATGGCTGGAAAAACAGAGAAGCTACATAATCGTCAAGGTAAGCTATCTTCTGCTTTTGGTAGTTTGGAAAATGCAAACGCTGCAGTGCCAGTTTCAATTGCTGAACCTGGCTTCACAGGAAAGCAAGTACAGTATTCTGGAGACAAATCCGAGAAACATGGTGATCCTGGTGGTGCGAGCCTTTTAATTCCGGCGGAGTTAGGTTCCTCACATATACAAGAAAGGTCAACAATGAATTCGGGCGTGGATGATGTTTCGCAGGAAGCTGTTAGTTTTCGACAGCTTAAGCTTGTTATGAAACAGGTATTATTTTTTGCTGGGTATTTTGGAAATATTCTCTCATATTCAAATTAACATTACTAGATTACGTGACTATCTATTTTGAGTGCTGCCACATTTTGTATGCTCGCTTCATCAACATCTATTGTGAATTATCGCACAATGTTTTATGCATGCACACAAATTCCATCTTGTCAATTGATGTCCGAGTGTTATAATGCTATGCAAGACCAGACCAACTTTCTTTTTATCCCTATTGCATTATCAAGTAGAAGATTGAGAGCTTTTGACTTTATAGCTTTGGCATATTTAGTTTTTCTGCTTATATGGGGAAATGCAAATATGTGCTCTTATGTGCACGAGTCCTTAGCTGCCTAGTCTCCAAATTATAACTCTCAATCCTGGGCCAGTGAATTTGGAAGTACTCAGGTGTATTTTGTTACGGTAATAGTTTAAAAGAGTTTTTGGGTGGCTTTTCTTTGCATCATAATGCAACTTCATGAATTCAGGCCACAGCATGATCATGCAACTCCCATGTTATTTATTGATATCGAGCTTTCTTTATTGTTCATGAGCTTCACACTCCTCAATTGAAGGGTTCTCTATCTTGTTAGATATTTAAATATGTTGAATTAATTGCTTTCGACATTCTTGGACTAGCTGGATTCGAGGACAAAGATATGCATAAGGGACAGTTTGTACCGTCTGGCCAGAAGTGCCGAACAGAGGCACAACCATGCGAACTTGAATGATAATGGTGGGGCTGAAAGAGATGCTGGTGGAGCGCTCTTGCCTGCAGGGGCAAACAAGTATGAGATCTCTTTCCTCCTCAGACCTTTTCCTGAATGGTTTTATGAAACAATTTAGGAGGAATCTTTTATTATTATTAGAAGCTTGTTGTCCTTCATGCATTGGACTAGATCTAGAAATTATTCTTATTCTGAACTAAAGGAGTTTGAATGAATTATTGTGGCAGAAGAAAAAACTAGTCGACTACCATGAGTTGGTAGTGTTTTTCTTTTTTTTTNGGTGATACAAAGCTATGGCTTTAATAAAAATTGAAAAACTCTTTGATGAGTTGTAAATGAGAGCTTTATTTCATTATTTGTGTGAATCCAGAATTGGACATTAATTCCCCCCTGTAAAATTGGACTAAATTGTTGAGAACTAAACGTACAAGTTGACAATTGAAATCACTTACAAACCTTTCTCATAGGATAAAATATATCATTCTTTTTTTCTTTTCCTTTTCCTTTCCCCATCTAAAGCGGAAACTGTTTTGGGTGCAACAGTTTCATGGATATAGAAACGGACACGAATCCTATCGACCGCTCGATAGCCCATTTATTATTTCACAGGCCTCCAGAACCTTCCAACACAGTGAGATTCTATGATGCTAAAACATCTCTTCCCTATTTCCTGCATGCATTAATCCATGCGAACTGAACTCTAAACAGCATCACATTTTTTTTTATTTCATGAGCAGATTCGTGGATCTGTCACGGACCCACCTGTGATGGTTGATAATATGATCACTTGTGAAGAAAATGCCTCCAAAATAGAGAATGACACTGACCGCTAACTGCAGTAGTCTCCAGAGGAAGAGTCATAATAAGTGTCCATTGTATTTAAAGCTTGCTTCGCTGACCATTGTTAGCATAGTCTCGAGAGGAAGAGTCATAAATGTCGATTGTATCTAATGCTTGCTGTACTCGACCACCGTCAGTATTGCCGTAAAATTTGTATAATGAGTTGTTTAATTTTCACATAATTTCCTGTTTCTTTTCCTTTTTGTTTTTGTTTTTTAATCATCAGCACCTCCAACGTGGCTGTAATTCTGGGAAACAACTTTGATATCTTGTCTGGTAGGCTCTAATGGTGGTGTGTTGGAGCCTTGTTCCAGAGTTATCTATACTGCTCGGTGCAATCTCGTGCTTATTTCTAACTTGGTAAATCTGCATGTATTGTCTCATTAGTTTGAACCTTCTATAAAGTGTGAACATATAAACAACTAATGATTTGGGATGGTATTCGAACCATGCCACTTGTATGTCGGTCAAAAAGTGAGTCGTTAAACACCGTTTCTCTATTACTATGTATCGTCCCTTTTTGTACAGTTTTGTTCTTAACATTTTTTTCAA